AAAAAAAAAAAAGTCATACTATAGTATGTCGTTTTTGTCAAAAATGGTCACGTTTCAGAATGTCCTGAAAACGCATCAGGATGTAGTATATAGTGGGAAAAGTGTCCTTCAAAACAACTCTGACTGTTCTTGAATGTCCCAGCCAGAGCCCTGACTTAAAACCAATGGAGCATCTGTGGGGAGACCTGAAAATGTCTGTCCACCAACGTTCACCACCAGAGCTGGAGAAGATCTGCAAGGAGGAATGGCAGAGGAAGCCCAGATCCAGGTGTGAAAACTAGTTGCATCGTTCCCAAGAAGACTCATGACTGTGTTCGCTCAGAAGGTGCTTCTGCTCAAGCCTGAGCAAAGGCTCTGAACACTTATGGCCATGTGATGTTTCAGTTTGTTTGGTTTTTTAAAGTTTATTTGCAAAAATGTCTGTCAATATGGGGTGCTGTGTGTAGATTAATGAGGAAAAAATGTAATGATTTTAGCAAATGGCTGCAATATAACAGAGTGAAAAATGTAAGGAGGTCTGAAAACTTTCCATACCCACAACACACATATATGTAAATATACATATATGTGTGTATATGTATACAATATTTATTTTTGCACTATTTCACACTATGATTTATTTATTTAGCTTAATTCTTTCAGCCTATCTATATATTCATATATATATATTTATTTACTTATTGTGGGTTTTATTCTTTCTTCTTCCTGGTTCCTCATACATTCCACTGTGCCTTAGACTGTTTATAATTGTGTTTGTGACCAATAAAGGCCTTGAATCTTGAATCTCTTCCAGTCAAATTCTAGAATTACTAAAAGAGGCTTTTCTGTATTTACAGATTGATCTACAGAGAGAACCTGATCAAAGCTGGTCCATTTGTCTCCCTGGTACCGTCAGCGCAGCTGCGAGTCACAAAACAAACCTGAACCAAGCAAATGAAAACTGACAACACGAGGACTTTATCGTTAAGTGGTTTATTTAAAGCATCTGCAGAAGTTATGACTGAAATCAAACTAGACGAAGCTGAGAAATCACAGCAGACCGGAGCTTTCTGCTCGTCCAGCTCGGTTCTGACTTCTGATTCAGTCACACTGAACAGAATTCAGAAGAGTCCACATTTATTCAGACTGCAGAGAAAAAGTTACCGTCAACATTATTCACAAAAGTCCAGATTGAATCAGACTTCTGTCAGGTAGCAGGAGGCCAGCAAACCAACCAATCAGCAGCTGGGACGTCAGCACAGGTGAGGTGTGATGGACTGACTGACACCTGCTGACCTCACAGGAAGACGTTCTGAACTGTTGCCATGACAACCACACAGCGCACATCCAGGCGATGGACAGACGTCCAGAGGTTCAGGACTCTGTGTCCACAGTGGAGATCTTATCGATGGACTTCAGCAGCTGAGACACCAACCGGAGCGTCTCCGCCTCCCCCATCAGCTGACTGAAGAGACAGACAGACAGACAGGTGAGAGACAGACAGGTGAGAGAGAGACAGACAGACAGACAGACAGGTGAGAGAGAGACAGGTGAGAGAGAGACAGGTGAGAGAGAGACAGACAGACAGACAGACAGACAGACAGACAGGTCTCTGGAACCTGTTTGTCTGCGGTCTACCTGTGTGCAGGTACTGACCAGATAGAGGAGTGGGCGTGGCTTGCTGTCTTGTTCAGGTAGTCGGAGGCCACCTGAGCATTTTGTCTCATCGTCATGACGACCTGAGACTCTGCTGCCTTCAGACTGTCATTCTCTGAGCGCAGAGACTCCATCTCCCCCTGGACACATGCAGATACTACATGAACTCATAGAAGTACCACATGTACACATTTAAACACCACATGTGCAGGTATAAGTACATCTGACTGCTAGAACCCTGAATTTTCTATGATGCAACAAAAACAACCGTGAATTTTTCTGGAAACATGATTAAATCTGTTGGGTCATAAATATTTATACAGAAATGTTCATTTCTGGTTAAACGTCCTTTAACGTCCATGTTCTCCTCAGTCGGGTTCTTCTGGTTCCGTCCACCAGCTTCTGGTTCATCTTTGACTCCTCTGGACAGAACCGCTGCACTTCAGCTAAAGATTCTATTAGTATGCTATGGTCTGTTTTTGATGTCTTGTTACCACGGCCCCTGT